GCCCAAGTCTACGGACAAACAGAGCAAGTCAGCGAGAAGAGCTCATTGGACTCGAAAGTCTACAGAAAACTAGCCAACGAGGCGCCGCGAGATTCATCGGCAACAGTAGCAACATTATCGGAAGGATCTCAGCTTCCAGATGATGACAAGCGAGGAGATCAAAGGAAGCTACATTTCGTTAGAAACGATCAAGAGAAATTCACGCTTCAGGATATGCTCCGTGCATCTGCGGAGGTTCTCGGAAGCGGCGGATTTGGATCTTCGTATAAAGCGGCGTTAACGAGTAGCCGTGCGGTGGTTGTGAAGCGGTTTAGGTTTATGAGTAATATCGGGAGAGAAGAGTTTTACGATCATATGAAGAAGATCGGAAGATTATCTCACCCTAATCTACTTCCGTTGATCGCTTTCTATTACAGAAAAGAAGAGAAGCTTCTCGTTACCAATTACATCCCTAATGGAAGCCTCGCGAATCTCCTCCATGGTAAAGAATCAATCTCTTTGTTCATCGAATTTGATGGGGTTTTGTTTCCGATGAATCTGATGGGATTTGTTTGATTGATTTTTTTTTTGTAGCGAATCGAACACCAGATCAGGTGGTTTTGGATTGGCCGATTCGATTGAAGATTGTGAGAGGAGTTACGAGAGGTTTAGCTTATCTTTACAGAGTATTTCCAGATCTGAATCTACCTCATGGACATTTGAAATCTTCCAATGTGTTGCTTGACCATGACTTCGAGCCACTCTTAACGGATTACGCTCTCGTGCCGGTGGTTAACAAGGAGCAATCACAGCAGTTCATGGTTGCTTACAAGGCACCAGAGTTCACTCAGCAAGACCGGACTTCGAGAAGGTCTGATGTGTGGAGCCTTGGAATCTTAATCCTTGAGATTCTTACAGGGAAGTTTCCGGCGAATTATCTCCGGCAAGGGAAAGGAGCTGATGATGAGTTAGCTGCTTGGGTTGAGTCAGTAGCGAGAACAGAGTGGACAGCTGATGTGTTTGATAAGGAGATGAAAGCTGGGAAAGAACATGAAGCACAAATGTTGAAGCTGCTTAAGATTGGATTGAGATGTTGTGATTGGGACATAGAAAGGAGAATTGAGCTTCATGAGGCTGTTGATCGAATAGAAGAAGTTGATAGAGATGCAGGTGGAGGAGGTGGTCAAGAGAGTGTTCGATCTTCTTATGTGACTGCTAGTGATGGTGGTGATCATCGTTCTTCAAGAGCCATGACTGGAGAGTTCTCGCTCATGTAATAGTCATCTTCTTCACTAAAGGC